CCTTGTAATGATCCAGGCCATAGAACCTATTCATCCGCTTATTGGAATCACAAAGGGAGTTTTAAACAAAAAAAGTTGCATGTGCTTCTATAATTAATTGGCAAATAAAACAGAATTCAGAACCTGCTGATTGGTTGAATTATAGCATTCCAGTTCTGTGTTTTTTTATTCTTTGTGGTTGTGGTTGACGTTGATGACTGCCATCTGCTGTTATGGTGGTGGTGGGGGGGCAGATGGAAGGGGGGGATAATACATTTTAATGTTCAGGTATGAGCTGAATGAAGGATAAATCCCGACTTCTGTGATTGAACAGATATTACCAAGATTCTGCAAAATAAAAAAAATGTGGATTGTGCAGTTGACATTTTGATTATGAATCTGAACAGATGGCTTGTTTTAATTTTAGAGCAATACAGTGAGATTCCTTAGGATGTTAATGTCAAATAAAGGGACTTTTGTACAGCTTTGTAATTATTGCTTTTTTGTAGCTTGTATTCATTTTATTTCATGCCTCTGTGATTGTTAGTTCTATTTTGTAGGTTTTCCCTGCTCTCTTTACTCATCCTGCTTTCCCAAAAGGTACAAATTCTTGAATAATATAATAAATATACAGAAATTGTTTCAGGAAATGTACACTTAAAAACAGTAAAAGAAGCATCTGCACTATGTACCCTTCTCTATTGTACGCATTGAGAGTGGTCAGGTGGAGTAGCCTAAGCAGTGCTGGCAGTTTTTCATTGTGTTTTGTTGTGAGGATATAGGGAGGTTGTTGCATGTAAAACTCCCTCCCAGAAAGTTTGGTGAGAGATGCTGCCAAGAAAAAGCTATTAAAGGAACTGTTTTGGCAGTTTTGAGCAGTCTTTTACATTATTTTTAGTAAAAAATAAATGCAAAATCATGTGTAAAATACAGTAGCTCAATGCAACCAATCAGATCATAGCCAGCTAAATTATGAGATGAATGCTAATTAGTTCCTTTTTTATGTAGCTGCACTTTGCAATTCACACTTTGCTTCCTTATTAAATTAGTTTGCTAGGCAGCTGTTTTTGTGTATTTTCGCCTTTGCTGTGATGGAGTAAAACTGAAGATATGGACAACACAGTTGCTCAGTAACTAGCAATATAGCCCTCCAGCACTGGGGACGTAAGTTAGATTATCACTAGTAAATGTATAAATATAATGAAATGACTGCTAGGAAATCACTCGTGACCCTCTAAGAAAAAATAAGTAGGCTGCTTTTGACTGATTGTTTTGTTCTTTTTTTTTTTTTTTTTTTTTTTTTTTAAATGGCTAGGCTCAGTATAGAACATTTATCTGGGTAACCAAGAATTCTTACTTTCTTGAAAAAGGGTAATCACCTTGTCTAGTACCAGTGTTCAGCCTCCAGAAGGAATACATTCACTTCAGCCTAGCTGCCATTTTGATGACTGGAGTTGTGGCAGATGTTTGTTGTCCATTTTTGTCACCATTGCCAGGGTTACACATACTGTATATTGTCAAGATTGTCAGTGTTTTGCCAATATATTCCCAAAACTGCCAGTATGTTGTCTGCATATTGCCACTTTGTCTATACTGTTTGACTTCCAATTCACCGTTGTGCACTATGCACCCCGTATGGCATGATCTTCCTACTTGCAGCACTGAATTTCATGCTTATGTGGTTACAAAGGTCCCAGGAAGGTTGATAGGTGTGAGGTCACCTGGCAACCCAATGCTGCTCACTGTAACCTGCTCACTGTTCAGTTTCTATTAAACCTCTAATATTTCACCACACACCAGGAGGTAGAATATAGCAATGTATAACCTTGATTCCCTAAACAATAGTTAAACACTCAAAATGGTTTAGTCAGGATGCTACAAACAGATGCTATCTATTTTAACCTAAGAAAACCACTAGTTAGTGAAATTGGTAAATTTAAGAAGGAACTATTTTCATTACCTGCATAGTTTTTTAGGAACAATCGAAATGGTAGTTTTGGTTTCTACCTGACATTTAGTCTGTCTGAAGCAATATGACTGATTTACTAATGGAGTTGAAAATCTCCACACAATAAATTGTAGGCATGTCCAGTTTTAATAGCCATGTATGTGCAAATAAAAAAAAAAACCTGGAATTTTCTTTTTACATAATTGTATAATTTAAATCCAACCTGATGGCTTGAATACTGCTCAACACAAGATCGTAAACTTAAATATTTTGATTTTTTTGGGGAATTTTTTTGTGAAAATGTGTTTACACTTAGTGAACACATGCGGCCGAAGAAGAATTTTGACTGTCTCTTTACTGGACTTTTTATAAATTTTAATTTTACCAAAGAAAAAATATACCACTCTTCACAATCCACCTTATTCATGTCAGCAGCACCTATATTTGTGAGAAACTATTTTTATGGATGAAGCACACAAAGGACAAACTTAGAACCAAAATATCTGAGCACCTTGAGAATTCATTGAGAATTGTTACTACATCCATCAAACCAGATATGGATGCATTAGTTTACAAAAAAAAAATCTAAGCTTTATTACTCAGAAAAGTACATGATTTATATTAGTGATCTGCCCGAAATTTTCGGCTCATTATCTATCCTTATTGTTAGTGTATTAAAGTTTGGCCCAAGACAATTCCTCATCTTCCGTTGTGGCCCAGGAAAGTAAAAATGCTGCACAGCTCTGATTTAAGTAATTCTTCATTCAGTTTATTGAATTAAGATTCTTAACTTCTTTAACAAATCCGCCTCAGTGCCTAATTATGTAAGCTCACTTGCGACCATATTTCTGTCAGAGAAGTCCTGGTACATACAACTATGACCTAATTTAACAAATATGATGCCATTGGAAGGTTGCTAAAGTAGACACCGCAACTACAGTGATCTCTACTTACTTCTGGGTCCTGTGCTGAGCGACTGGCCTAATGCATTGCAAACACAGGAGGTTGGCCACTAGGCATGAGGACCATTCATAGAATGTGAACAAACAAATTTAGGCAACATAAAAATAACCATAAAGATATATATATATATATATATATATAGCGCAAATCATACAATAAACAAATACTAAAGTCCGTATAATTCCATAAAGAAACCGCCCACCACCAACGTGTTTGTGAACACTTTCCACTTTGTGCTTCCAGTATTCTACATAGAGCCACCCAGTCCAGTTTAAAATCGATCACTTCATGGTAACCCTAATAAGATATCAAGGTCACAACAAGCATTTGTTATCCCTTCCTGGCCAGTATCTCCTCTGTTCCGATGTATAACTAGGAGAATACTGGAAGTACAAAGTGGAAAGTGTTTACAACACGTTGGTGGAGGACTGTTTCTTTACGGAATTATATGGACTTTATTATTTGTTTGTATGATTTTGGAAACAGGCCAAAAATTAACAAGCTGCATACACAATGTGACCAAAATCACCTAAGTATGTATGTGAATCAGTGCTGCATTCAAACCACTTAGTGAGTTCTCAATTCAATGCATAAAAACACACCAGTAAATGAAAGAAGTGTAAATATTGCAATCCCAATACATAAATGTGTAAATACTAAAACACAGAAATATGTTTATAAACTCCATAAATCAAAAGGTTACATGAACAGTGCATTATAATATATCTAAATGGTGCAAAATCAAAAGCCTGTGCAATATGTGAAATGTCCACAATATCCCAAACTGACCCTCGTTGCAAAGGTAAAAAATGTACACCTTTTTATATTACCAGGATCTACAGTAGCAAGGTGCTTTATAATGGACACAGAAACGGCAGCCTTCAAGTCTGCTTCAACATATATTACCAGCATGACTGCATTAGGCTTACAAGGAACAGCTTAAGTAATTATCCAGCAGGGTAAACCATTCAGGGAGAGACTCCCAGTGAAAAAGCTCAAAGAAGCAGACAAAGGACCATAGTATTCATTGCTTAAAAACTATTTTATTAAAAGTTATCAAAAGTGCATTCACATTTAAAACAAGGAGAAACTGCTTTTATATATTACTGACATAAGGCAGAGGAACAGCACTGTCCAGGAGAAGTACAGAGCCAAACCACTATGCAACACTCCACTTTCTAGTGGAAACTCAAAGCAGACAATCTATAAGAGGGTGAGCTGAGCTGCTAAGAGAATGAAGAAAAAAAAAAATTCAGAACTCCAGCCAAAAATGAAAATTAATAATCCATTAGCCAACATAAAGATTTTTTAATAAAAGCAGCATCCGCTGTAACACCCCCTTTCAATCCAGAGTTGTCCCTCCACAGTACTGTTTTCTGCCACTACATGTTCTCATTCTTCTTAGTTGACTGATGGACCATGTCATTTAGTACACTTCCTATGAGCCTGTTCTCATCACTTAGTATAGCTGCACTGTATAGCACTCACACATCATTACTTGAGTGGCATTCAGTGCAATAGTAAGGGCCACCCCCTACCACAGTCAAAGAACAAAAAAGGACCCATTAATTTGTCAGGGGACCCTTGGAAAAAAAAAAGGATATGTATGTGTATATATAGTATACTGTCAGAAGTATAGGGACGTCTGCCTTTTTATACGCACATGAACTTTTAATGGCATCCCAGTCTTAGTCCATAGGGTTTAATATTGAGTTGGCCCACCCTTTGCAGCTATAACAGTTTCAACTCTTCTGGGAAGGCTGTCCACAAGGTTTAGGAGTTTTTGTGAAGTTGGACAAGAGAGCCTGGCTCGCTGTCTTGACTCTAATTCACCCCATGAATGTATCAGGTTGAGGTCAGGACTCTTTGCAGGTCAGTCCTCCATCCCAAACTCGTTCATCCATGTATTTACAGACCTTGCTTTGTGCATTGGTGCGCAGTCATGTTGGAACAGGAAGGGGCCATCCCCAAACTGTTCCCACAAAGTTGGGAGCATGAAATTGTCCAAAATGTCATGGTATGCTGACTCCTTAAGAGTTACCTTCACTGGAACTAAGGGGCCAAGCCCAACCCCTGAAAAACAACCCCACACCATAATCCCCTCTCCACCAAACTTTACGCTTGGCACAATGTAGTCAAGTACCGTTCTCCTGGCAACAGCCAAACCCAGACATGTTTATTGCCAGACAGAGAAGCGTGATTCGCCATGCCATAGAACACGTCTCCACTGCTCTAGAGTCCAGTGGCAGCATGCTTTACACCATTGCACTTGGTGATGTAAGGCTTGGATGAAGCTGCTGGGCCATAGAAACCCATTCCATGAAACTCTCTATGCACTGTTATGCTAATTTGAAGGCCACATGAAGTTTGGAGGTTTTTACCTATTGACTCTGCAGACAGTTGGTGACTTCTGAAAACTGTGCACTTCAGCATGCGCTGACCCCCCTCTGTCATTTTTATGTGGCCTACTACCTCGTGGCTGCTTGCTGTTGTTCCCAGTTGCTTCCACTTTGTTATAATACCACTAACAGTTGACTGTGGAATATTTAGTAGCAAGGAAATTTCACGGATGGACTTATTGCACAGGTGGCAACCTATCATGGTACCATGCTTGAATTCACTGAGCTCCTGAGTGACCCATTCTTTCACAAATGTTTGTAGAAGCAATTTGTATGCCTAGGTGCTTTGAATTAATACACCTGTGGCAATGGAGTTGATTGGAACACCTGAATCCAATGATTTGGAGGGGTGTCCCAATACTTTTGGCATCTATGTACATTGCAAACATTTTAACAAATTTGTGGTCCTACGTATTTCTTTTCTTAAGAAATATCTGTATGTCCTTGGAATACTGATTCCTGGATGGGAGTATCTGCATACAATATAATCAGCTGATGCATTTGCAGTGTTATAAAATGGAACATTGCACTTTCTGCATCCTTTTTTGAAGTAATAAATCCTTTGGGAGTATCTCACCAAAAATTATAATTCCTATTGCAGACAATGCCTACAGATTTACGTGTTTCTTTGTGAAGATTTCTGTGTAAAATCAGTGAGCCAATCACACAATCAGGAAATAACATTTCTTGGGAAGTTCTGTACACAATCTGTACAGAAGACTCTCGTTGTCATATTGCATTGAAATTTACAGAACATTACAGTGCTGCAGATTGATGTTTAAAAAAAAATCTTTCCTTTTCAAAGTACAATATGGCTTATGTAGCAATTGTATATGCTTTTTTTATTTGCTCTTTTTATTTCATGAAAGTGGAGTTACCCTATTTATATACTAGTTTTAAAATAGTAATTAAATAGTTTAGTGCAACAAGGATATATTTTTGTGCATAGCTAAAAGATTAATATTTCACTGCAAGCAAAAGCATTGGCACTTTCATAATTTCGACTTTCCCTATCCTTTTTTTTTTTTTTTTTTTAATTATTTTACACATTTTTTTTTAAATTTTCCATCTCAGTTTTGCTTTTTCTATGGTCTCAACCACACAAACACTGGGCTGAAATGGAACAGGTAGATCCCAGCTCTATTAAAATCCTTCTAGTTGTGGATTTGTTTCTCTTATGAGTTATTTTACTCCAAACACTTTGGGAAAAAAAAAGTCCTGTCTATGCCAAAGTAAATCAAGACAACTTTTTTTTTTCTGATCTAATGTGTTGCTTTCTGGACCTGCCAATAATAAATCAATACCCTTGAGCTTATAGAACAATCAAATAGAAGTATTTTCTTCAACGATACCCTTTTTAACCTCGGAGTACATTACTGTGCTAGTGTAAACTGATGGATTTCAATAAAAGCCAGCTGCCATAACCTCTGGACCATCTATTATCCTTGCAACACGTGGAGAGGGGGAGTGAGCGACTGCAATGTGGAAACAATTAAGCAATAGGTGGACCTCCATTCTATAGAAACAAATTCAATGCCACTGTGTATAAAAACACCAGTTAGGAAATATGTTTCTCGTTGTGGCTTTTAAATTCTGCTTTTAAATGTGAAGTTAAACCACCTTAAAACAAATTGCCTCTCTGATTTTTTTACCTAAGCTGAACATTTTTTACTATAGGTTTCCAGGATGGCTTTGAAAAAAAAAGGAACAAAAGGTGAAGGTAACAAAAAAAGTAGCATTAAAAATGGTGGGTCCTGCAGTGCCCTTTTCCCTTTCTTCACAAACAATATGTTCAGTCCCTTTTTGGTGCATGGAATGAACCTTTCTGTGCAGCAAATGCAAGGTTTAACAATTTAATATGAAATATGCAAATCATGACTTTTTTTGCATAGCAATTATGGCAACTAATGAGTATTTGGTTTACTTTAAACAGACCTTTTTATAAAGTTGATTCTGGCCAGTTGTTTTCCATGCTGCACATTGCTCTCTGTAATGTTACTGAACAAGAACGTTTTGCATGCAATATCAAGGTTGGTATTGATACTCAGAGATCATTTCATTAATAGGTAGGTCTTATCCTATTATCTAATAGCGCACACAAAGTTACCAAGAGGAGGGTGGAATGTTCTATGGACTGCCAAAGAGGAATGTCCTATGGCCTTCCAAAGGGGAGGTTGGAATTTCATTAGGTCTTCCAAAGAAGAGATTGTAATGTCATGAAACCTTCCAAATCTGGAGCAATGTCCCAGATCTATTTGCTGATAACTTCCTTTCTATATAAAGTTCTCTTCTCTTTCTAGAGCAATTGTTGGTTTTGAAGAAGATCTCCTTGTGCTGAGATTTCTATCATTGTGATGCATGTTTATAGTTTTTTTTTTTTTTTTTTTTTTCTTTTTCTAATTTACTCTTGACTTTTGCTATAAAAATTAGACTTACTCTTGGCAAATAATCCAGTTGTTTTTAACACATTTACCATACATCAAGATTTCTTCTAACCTCTTTCATACCTGCAAGTTAAGATATGCCCTTTCTGCTACAAACCTTTTAAGCTAAAGTTTTGTATGATTACAATTTGCGAATTTACAAATTAAGAGCCCCAAGCCCTGTTGCAAACAGTGACTAGCTCTTGGAAGCAGTTGAGAAAATATCAAAATGTCTTGATGCGTAGATGTCAATCCGGAGGTGTGAGCATCCTCTGACAGGTTACATTTGTATATAGACTGAACTATATCATCCACACGTGGTACTGAGCCTCCATAATTGAAAGAACTTAACTCCAATGAAAGAAAGCTATGGCTCAGGGATCTGCAAGATTGGGAAGGAAAGGGCTAGAAGAAGCTGGATGTCCTCCTGCCAGGAAATGAAATTGGCTCTAGGTGACTTGTTGCAGCATCTAATGTACACTATGAGCAGCTCAGGAAAAAAAAATTCTCTTTAAATACTCCAGACAAAGTCATAAGTACTGAGAACAGCCATTTATTATTGTAGTAATGACCACAAAAGTGTGACCTACTACTTGTTTATTAGGTTTCACTACTAAATTTACACAGATAAAGCCACTGGTTATCAAGGATATTGTAATGAGGGGTATGCCATTAATACAGAGTCCTAATTTCTCCTGTTGTCACTGCTGCATCAAAAGTCCTATAGGCCTCATGCACATGGATATTTAGAGGTTTCAAAATACTCTGGCCTAAATTTCCTGTGTCTGGGGAGCTGCCATTTTATGCTGCATGGGCACCTGTGCATGGCCCCTATGGATCCCTGGTCATAGGAAAGCCCCAGAGACTTTACACTGAAGGACTTTGAAGCCTCTAGATGTTTGTGCACATAAAGGCCTAAGTCATATAGATGGTGTTTTCATCCATTTCTCCAAACAATGTGTATGTCAGGTTGCTTCTGTGTGTGCAGGTTGTAGCAATTGTGCACACAGATATGGACGCGGTCATCCATCTTGTATCATCTTTCTCTCTCCCTCCAATCCCCCTCCCTCAGGAATGTGGTGTGTGTGTGTGTGTGTGTGTGTGTGTGTGTGTGTGTGTGTGTGTGTGTGTGTGTGTGTGTGTGTTGGGTTCACAAGGACCTCAGGCACAGTTGGATACACGTCATGGTTGTAATCCCAAATTAGCTGGTGCCTGGGTGTCTGTTAGCTTCTCGCTCGGAGATGATCGTAAAGCTATAAACCAGTCCTTCACTGGACATAAAACACATTCCAGAATAGCCGTAAAACATACATCCCGTTTAAAAACCACTTTTCATAACCTAAAATAGGGAATACATACAATTGAACAAAGCATATATTCGGATAGCTCCATTTAATGCGAGTCGCCTGATATCTTACACCCCTATTAAATGTCTACAGGAGAGTAGAAATCCATATAGTTCTAGCTGAAATAGTAAGATATGGCATATTTGATGTCTGGACGTTCAGGATATCATTCTGCATATTAATCTACAAGTGGCTAGGCTGCTACATGTACCTAGGGAAGGTTATTGACCATGATATAAACTGCGAGGGATTTGGTCATAGCCTGAGTTTCCCTGCCTAAAACACCCCTCCCCAAATGAGGCCATTGGTTCTTGGCTTTAAGGAGACACCCCTGCTGGGTTCCTAGAAAAAGGCTGTTATGCTTGGAGCAGTAAGTTGAAGAGATCTCCCTTTTTAACATCAGGAACCAACTTTGGGAGAAAAGGCACCCTCTTGTTCAGGACCCTTGAAGCTGCTTAAACCAGGATTTCTGCAAGTATTCTACCTCTCTAAACTTCCTTCTGTTATCTCTCTGTTGTGGTAGTGCGTGAGTGTGTGTGTGTATATATATTATGCTACATCCTTTTCTGTAAATATTTTTATTGCACCATTTTGACCTTTTTTAGTACTAAATCCTATTATCTGAAAAGTGTTGAACTGTTTCTAAAGCTCTTTATTGCAAACGAAGAATTCCTGTCTCTGAAGAGCGCTACTGTGTGTTTTTAAAAACTTCTGCATACATCTGCCTGCGGTGACAGTGTATTCAAACAAATCATCATAGTATTACTGATAAGATTTTCGAGTTTCCTCCTTCTCTGTACAAAAAGGTGGTGGTAGCAGAGTGAAGGGTTAATTGCGTAATTAACCTGACCCAGTAACAATCACTCTCAGGCTGCGGTACATAGATTGTGGTCCATTAGCTGGAAAATCTTTGTGCAGGGTGCAGCTGAGCGTGGTATTGTTATGCACGTGACAGCACGGTTTTAGATTGGCTAGTCCTTCAGTCAATGGTTGGTGAGAAGAGCTGGGGGTCTGACGCCGCGTCCGTCACACAGGTGTCTGTGAGTGTACCTGTGTGCATGCATATATGCTTTTGTGCATGTGTGAGGGTGCTAGTTTTTATGCAGGTGCATGCTGTGTACATAAAGGGGGAGAGTCAAAGTGCAGACGCATGCTAATGTTTGCACACTGTAGGTGTGGTTGCATGTAGGAGGGCTTGCATGCCTATCTAAAACAAATTCAAGACTAATGAATATCAGAGTTTATGGGTCTCCGTTATCTTAATTTGACCCCTAAATATGTTGAATCGTGGCTTCTTTGTGCTCATCATGCTGCTACTGATTGAAAACAGCAGTGAGAAAAGTAGAGAAAATACATTCGCCTCTGAGATTACTTTAGAAAGTGCTGTGTATTCCTTATTTTTTGTTCATTTTACCATAATTCTTTGTTGTTGCAAAATCCATCAAAGTAAGTATAATTTACCACAAAATTATACTTTTTCAGGGTGCAGGGAGGAGGGAAGAGGGTGGAGATAGGGGT